ATATTGCTCTATCCTCGCATGCCAAAAATAACGCCGAGCTGTGACTCATCTGAAGCACACTAATTTGTCAGAGTATTTTCTAGTTGCCATGTAGGCTTCCGTTCAGAGCAAGGAGTATACGGAACGAGTGACGTGAATGGCGAAGGAGAAGGGGTGGATGGGCGGGGGGAAGGGGTAGGGGGCTCGACCTCCTTTCATTTCCCCAAAAACTTGCTAGTGCCAAAATTGGGTTATCGCCATTGTCATGTTCAAAAGAATAAATATTAGACTGCGGTAGACAAAGGAAGAGAGAGAGAGAGAGAGAACAAGAGAGAGAGAGAGAGAGAGAAATGGTGAGACAGAGGGAGGAATGAAAGAGAAGGACAGGATTATCATAATGATCATTATGGGTATACCCAACCTTGTACACTCGGTGGTATATTTAAAACAAAATCATCACTTAAATAGTAAACTTTCTCTCTCTCTCTTCTCTATAGTCTCTCTCTCTCTCTCTCTCTCCTCTCTCTCTCTAATTCTCCCTGAAACACACACGCACAAACACACACCCTCTCTCTCTCTTTCCTTCTCCTCTCTTTCTCTTCCTCATCATCAACCCCCATCCCCCTCTCCCCCATTTCTCTCTCCCGTTCTCTTCGATTCCCTGTATGCATTCGACGACACAATATACTCATACTCTTCCATGCCTCTCATGCCCTATTCTCCAAACTATTGCCGAAATTGCATTTACACTTTATAATGTCCCTTTCTATCACCTGCTTGTAAAGGGCATTTAATTTTCCTGGCTATGCCCTTTACACATAAATTATATCGACTAGTTTGGCAACGTCTATGAATAATGATTCTAGCGGAAATTGTTTCCTTCTGATGATATCCCTTCAAACTTCCGGCGCAGGGAAACGATCTATTTAGGTTCTACTACGGTAAAAAGAAACAAGATTGTTTGCCATTGAGAAAGTCTTCTTCAATGAGATTTTGTGGACGACAGAGAGAGAGAGAGAGAGAGAGAGGGGAGAGAGAGAGAGAGAGAGAGAGAGAGAGAGAGAGAGAGAGAGAGAGAGAGAGAGAGAGAGAGAGAGAAGGGGGTGGGTAGAGAGAAGTGAAACAAATACGACTTCTCAATTTTGGGAATTTATTTCAAGAAGTGAATGGTTTTGTTATCGAAATGTCATCATGATTACCTCAAAATAATTTTTCGGAACCACGCAGACGATATAATACCCCTAAACTAAAGATTTTGGTCTTCATGAAGATCTTCATCTAAAATGACTTTAAAGAAATGGCAGGAACAAACAATTGTGACCTCGCCTAGATAACTGTCTCTCACTGTGATAATACCCCTCACTTCCTCTCTACCTATCTAGAAACTGTGACGTATCCTGGATGATTTTCCTGGATTTAGGACTTCGGGGCTCATTTTGTTGTACTTGGCAAGCAAACGCCCCCACCCCCCCCCCCCCACACACACACACATACACAGGGAGGAAAGGGAGAGAGAGAGAGAGAGAGAGAGAGAGGGAGAGAGGGAGAGAGAGAGAGAGAGAGAGAGAGAGAGAGAGTGAGGTCTTACTGGAGGGTGTTTATTTAAAAAAGTAGCAATTTTTACCGGGTAAAGAAATGTGTCTCTCTGAAAAGAATTTTTGTTAGAAATGAAACGTAAGGTTCTCGACATTCTCGACAATGCCTGTGAAGGGCATGTTTGTAATTTCAAAGTGAAAGTGTGCCTCTTAAAAAAAAAAATTTAAAAAAAAAGTTTAATATAAAGCATGCTTACGCTATCTTCTGCTATCCAGGGGAAGGGGAGGGGGTAATGAATCCTTTGTATAATAACGAGTGTTTTCGCCAATGTCATTCCTTATTTCTTGATTGCAAAAAAATATAACAAATAAAATGTGTGTAGTCACAGCATAATGATGATTTATAGATGAAAAACTCCTTCCTAACTCTAGAGCGTATTAAAATTGTCATAATTCATATTATCAATTTAGTAGTTGGGTGGTGGGGGTGAGCAGGTAATGTGGTTTCAAATGACTTTCTTGAAATGCATTAAAGTGATTATAATGATGATCCTGTTCTTCATATTCAAAATTAATCTGGACACAACAAATTCAGTTTTAACCTATTTTACGTTACCACGTTTTCCTTCATCAGATTTCTAAACAAATCAAAGTGTTTCATTTTGTATTCAAGTGCATATGTTTAAAACATTTTATTTGTTAGTCATCGAGAATTTTTTTTTTAATCGGGACGTGCATTTATTTCGTGATTTTGGAAACTAAAAGACACATACAAAATACAAAGAAGGTGTCGAAGTGGTCCAACCGAGTGGTCCACCCCTGGAACAGCTTACCACATAACATAGTGTCTGCACCCACTGTGACTACTTTTATGAGAAAACCGAGAGCCCTTCCCATAGGACAAGGGGGTTAATCAACCAAGTATCGAAGTAAGTAAGTGAGTGCTATTTGACCAAACAAATGATGGCGCTGTTTGAATAATTCTCTTCTCAACGTTGACAAGACTATATTTCGTTCAATTTATTCTACTTCCAGCAAACGTGTAACAAGGTTTGGATATACATGTACATTGATCAATAATGACAAGGTCTTTCTTACAAGGAGAATAAGGAGGTTGAGGAAGAGGAGGAGGAGAAGTAGAACAAGAAAATGGACAAAATGGAATACAAAAACAAATTACGACATACATTTTTTGTTTAAACAGTTTAAATAGCGTTATTAAAGGTACTATGTCCCATTTGCAGGCCCCCAAATGAAAAGGTTAAATTCCAACGGCGTTTGAAAGATAATACTAATTTAGAACTTCCCTAAAAAAAAGATGGGGCTTGAAAATGTCTTCAAGTGGGAAAATAACGACTATTAGTTGTCAAATCGACTTAGGAGCTATAGAGCCAATAAGTAATAGTCTTGATTTTCAGACCATTGCACTGAATGGTCATACGTTTTATGCTGCGCAAAGATTCAATCAGTTTAATTTTGGCCATCACAAGAAGTGGGTTGTTGATGTAGACAAATGCTCATGTACCCTTCACTCAATAGTGTCTGACAGTGAAGGCTAGCAAGTAAACAGGTTTCCTTGCATAATTTGAATATTAGGACACTGCTAACATTTAAATTTCACAGATAGGACATACATGACATATTCATAATTCCTGCAAAAATCTACATAATTTGAGGTTGGCTGCAAAAGGGACATAGTACCTTTAAAAGGGATAATGAAGAGTATTGTAACTCGCTGTCAATTAAAATCAGCATGATTAATAACAAATTATTTAGTTTATTTGTTGCTGATGATTAAGTTGTATGGCGCTTGTCATTCAGTTTTGATTATCTATTTTTCTTTTTTCTTTTATGAACATGTATAATCATTAAAAATAAATATTAATGTTGAACATTTCGCTCTCTCTCTCTCTCTCTCTTTGTGAAAGAATGAAAGAATGAAAGTAAGGAACAGGAGGAAAAGTAGAATGAGGATGATGATCATTATTATTATTATGCTCATTATTTAAATTTTCAATTTGGGAACTAAAATGAACTTTCAAGCCTTATAATATTGCTGTAAACTTCGTTTTTGCCCAATCGGATGTTAGGCCTGTTGTGCAATTCTTTTAAATGTTGATATCAATTGTCCTCTTTATTCTACTACACACTGACAAAAGGGTGGGGCAATGTAGTGGCTCAAACCTTTTTATACATTTTGTGGGAATGTGCAATAACAGATTCCGATTCAACGTTTCTGGTTCGCAACGTCGAGGAAGGCACTAATTTGTTTGTTTCGCTAGTTGGCGCTATTGCTGAATGCACTGTTCGACTCCCCTCGTAGTAATCCTTGTGGTCCTTTGACGGGATCGAGTTTGCAGAAATTCGGCACTGTTAAAAAAAATATATCATTCATTTTCTTTATAATCATTACATTACATTATTGTTATGGAGGAAACTGTAGCGTTGACAATCAAGGCATACAGAGGGCCTTAATTATTTATTGGGATTTCATTACAAAAGATATTTACGAGGAAGTAAATTTACTAAGAAGATTGAAATCAACATTTTTTGAAGGAGGGAAAGTGAATAATATAATGAACCAAATAGATTGATACCCCTTAGTGTCACCAAGCGGTGCTTTAGGGGAAAAAAGAAATGTATATAGCAAGATTATACAACTAAAAAGAGAAAGAGAAGAACATGAGGAGAGGGTGGGAGGGGGGAAATAAAAGGAAAAATATATAACAATGTCCTCCATCATATTCCATACACTTCGATAAAATTGAAATAATAATCATGATATTATATGCATTATCATTATTTAAAAAAAACAGCACTTAATAGACTAATGCTCATAAACGAAGATGATATATATAAAAAATTATTGTTAAATATTGCTCTGCAATGTGATTTCTCATGCAAGCTAGGCGCATTAGCATTATATTTCATACGCCCTGCCATATCCCTTTCACCTCTTCCTTTACAACTTATACTCTTGCCAACCAAATCATCACCAACATAATGATTGTAGGCCTACCATATAGCTTTTCCAACCAACTAATCGATACCACTCATTTAACCACCATATCTCAACCACCACCAATTAACAACATGATCCATCATTACCAAAACTACCACCAGCCACTACCACCACCATGTACCATTATCATCGTCGCTAACACCACCATCACCGCCACCACCACCACCACCACCACCACCACCACCTCTACCATCATCATCAACACCAACACTACCACTGCCACCATTACCACCACCATCACCACCACCACCACCACCACCACCACCACCACCACCACCACCACCACCATCACCATAATGTATTACGGCCTTCGCCAGTGGCGCCGCGGCAGGCGATAGCAAGGCCTCCCGTAGCTAGTTGGCCTAACCTTCAGGCACGAGGTCACTGCCTTCGACAGTCGTGCGCGGAGTGTACGATTCATAGTGCGTGCATATTGTACGCGTACGCAATACCGGCGCGGCGATATAGAGCTCAATGCCAAATCAGCTGTGCTACTTGAGTTTGCGAGATATCTCTGTACTGCGTTTACGTACGTTGACGGGAAATACATGTACGCTGTGTTGTTATTGGGAATGCCGTAAATCCACTAGAGAAATATAATCATTTGATGCCATCTATCTCGCAAGTTTTCACCATGCCAAATCCATCGGTACGACGAGAGGGACCGATGAAACTTCGGTTGACAGGTAAAGGCATAATTTCGAATATATCTGGAGTGTATTTGATCAGTGTATTTCGTGAAAAAAAGCCCAAAACGTCCACTGTTTATCAAGGAGTGTTCGATCCAGCAATGTTCTTTGTCGGATACCGGGCGCGGTGCACAGTGGTAGTAGAGTGAAAGCCCCCGTGTACATGGTGTATTTCCACGTTGATGAGCTTTAATCATGATATCTTGAATTTAAATCTTCCAGATACAATAAAGCAGAATTTAATTTTGTGCATGTCTAGCCCAGGTCAAGGCCAAGGCCATGTCATTATCAATTAGATCTACCGGTTATAGTTACGCGGTAAGACCGTAAGGGGGTAGAGATAACCTGACCATCTTTATTTTACAGCCGTAATTTGTTCATTTTATTTTTAGATTTTGGATTTTACTGCCTCATGTTGTAAGTACAAGTATTCTATATGTCATTAAACAAAGTTTTTGCAGTTACCAAAAAATCGACCAACAGGTAAGAAAATAAGAATCAAAATCAAATCTTGAGGGAAAGTAATAAATACAATAATTTATAAAAAGTTAAAAACAATTATGAATCATTGCAGTGGAATAAATGGATAGTGAAGGACAGTTGAATAAGTTGCAGTCGTGAGCTACATGTTCATGTACTGTACATCTAAAGTCTTTGTCATTTTGAATTTTAATTTAATCTTGATCTCTTATGTTTTACATCTGACTTTGTTACCTGCGAGCTGGCAATTTTACATGCACCTGCTTATATTGTCGCTCTCCACTATAGCTAGATAGCGCCAAATGTCTTATGTCTACAAAGTATAATCCTCTCTATTTTAATACATTAAATATTATTTGTCAAACTTGACCCTAGTTTAAGCACTTCATTAGACACTCAAAATCCAGACCATACCATTTGAATGTTAATGTAATAAGAGATGAAGACGCTTTTAAATTTTCCAGACTTCCTCTTTAATAGGAAATTAACCCTTGACATGTTGGGGGGGGGGGGGGGAGGGGCAGACGAGAACAATCAGACCAAGAGCGAAAATGAGAATATGTTCATAGTCTACAGTGGATGTACACATAATATATTGTTGGAGATGTGTACAAATGTACATGTACAGTCACTGCAAATTACATATACACACATGTAAAATACTTGTAAGTTTAATAGGCTAATATACTTGTACAAGTAAACTGTACATGTAGACCTAATCCGTAAAGCAGGCAGTTTGGTGCGGTTGATCTCCGACACTCAACAGAAGAGGAAGAAGGAAAAGAACAATTTATAATAAAAAAAGTATAGGCTTTGTACAGCCCCAAGACCAAGTGACATGTTTAATGGGGGGAAAGGGCAAGAAAAGGTCAATTACCTCTCACCCCTGTCTGTCTCATTGGTGGTGGTCAAGTCTTTTGACCTGAGGGTCATTGTTGTGTGAATCCCTTGAGAGGTGACCTGGCTGGTGATCTGAGATGTTATGCATTCCAGGACACACAGGTCTCCTCTCTGTTTAGGATCATCAGGGGGGTTTTCACAAAGACTAAGATCGACTTAAGTTGGACTTCACTATGGCAGGCCGTTCATGCCACTAGTTCCTAAGGGACGTATAAATCGTGGTCACAATTCTACAGAATTTACACATGTTGATACCTGTAGTTCATTATTTGAGGAGAAAATATTATCTAAAGATCATACATGTAACTGAGAGACCAATATTGAGAGCAACCAGTGGCATGAACAGCCTGCCATAGTTAAGTCCAACTTAAAGTCGATCTTTGTCTTTGTGAAACACTCCTCTGGTCTGTACGACATGGTGAAGCAAGTGTCAATGTGCACTACTGAACAGTGTATTTCACTTTCACTATAGACTACTGAAAACTCTCATTTCCATAGGCTTATACTGGGATCACCAGGTAATGGATTAATTGGTAGGTCAAGATGTGTTTTATTAAAATGGTAAATCAAACTGAAGAAATGTGATGATTAAATTCTGAAACCAGACACTTTCATGAATTAAAAACGGGATTCAGATTCATGAAGGGTTGTCTCAAGAAGGGCTGTCTTTAGCATAATTTTGTGAACATTTCTTGTTTTGATGAATCTTTAAAAAAAAGATATACATGTACAGCGAATATACATGTATATATATTTTTTTAAAGATATGCTGAGCCAAGTCAGCTACCAGTAGTTATGTGTAGTAAAATCACAATGTCTAGAATAAAGTTGAAATGGTCTACATTGTACATGTGATGTACATATAATTTTGATGAATTCTTACAACCTCTGCATTCTCATACATGTACATGTATATCAGACTGCCCAGTTAAAATAAGGCAGAGCTCCTCTCCTTGACTACTGATGAGATGGACCTTTTGCCCTACGGAGTACAGATGGACCTTTAGCAGTGTGCTTGAATAGACCATAAATTTGCTGGCAGTGTATATTGTACATGTGCATTGTTACAAGTGGCAGCTTTGTCCTTAGTACTTCAATAATCACTTCACAGGTTATTGCATCCTTTTGTTCTGAAAATGAGGTTGGCCAGCTGGCTGCAGTGTGTTTTTAAGAAAGAAAAGGAAAAAAAATTTGTTTACACTTCAGCTATATACATTTAACATTGTTTTTAGGGGTTGGATAGGTCAGATTGTCAAGTTTGCATTGTAAGCCTCTTGTAAAAATTCTATGCTGACTAAAATGAGTACGAGCTAGATTTTTACTCACCACTGTCTTTTGTTGTGTAGAAACTTGAGAGTGATCCTATATATGTAGTATGAAGATGACAATGGCGATCGCGATGTGTGTTGATCAATATAAAATGTCGAGTGTAACACGTTGAAGAAGAATTGTAGAAATTGACACTCCTAAATGTTGGGGAACAGAGGGAGTGTTCGTAGTAAATGTCCCCGACGACTATATACAAAATACTAGACTGAAGACTGAAGAAGTGGAGTCTAGTTGTGGCAAGAGTTGGTAATATAAACGCTATCTAATAACCGGAGGCCTCGGCTAAAGTACGAGAAGCGGATCGCGTTCTTCTAAAGTTGTGGCGAAATGAAGTAACGCAAATATAAACACCTCGGGCTAGCACAAGCGTAAATCAAAATATGCTAGCCCAGGAAGAAAGTACACGAAAATAACCACTGGCGCGTTGTAAATAAACCGCGTATTCCAAGTGAAATAAGTGTCAGAATTGAAGTCACGAAATGTCGAGTCGCGAAAAGAAAACAAGCAGTTCGCTATTAACAGTTGTCGTGAAGAAATCACAGGCGTGTACTAGAGAAAATCCAACGGAAAACGCTACACTATGTCGCCGTAGCTGCTGGATGAAAAATCGCGAAGATCGCTATAAAAGTGAGTCAATCCAATACGTGATGATCTTACGAGATCATGCAGGCTAACTAACGAAAAACCCCAGCTCCGTGGCGAAAACGTGACCAGCGGAAGCTGTGATTGGTCACATTACGAAAACAAACCATGGCGACGAGCTATGTGAAGGCAGGTGCCAAAATGTGTCAAGAATGTGAAACATACGACATCGCAGGAAACTGCATAAATTATCAGCGTAAATTTCTCAAAAGTTGTCGGCACAACAAGGCAATATCAAAACATTACATAAAGTTCGTTGACACTATAATGGAGCATAAATTCACTACATATAATCCCCCTCTAGATTGTTGCTTGAGAAGATATGAAAAAGGAAGCAATCGATGAAGATATACAAGTAGTGTTCAACTCACTGCAAAATACTGTACAAAACGTGCAGGCCAATGAACATGTCGCCCTGACCTGGTCGTCTTCACTGGAGGAGGAGTAGGCGTCGGAGAAACAGGAGGGCGTAAATCCTTCAAACGTGATGTAGGAGCCTTGACAAGAGGAGGAGCCTTGACGGGAGGAAAAATCTTGTCAGAAGGAGGAACCTTGTCAGAAGGAGGAACCTTAGAAAACTCCGAATCGATGTATGCCGGCTTCAGTCTGTCGACACTGACACTACCATGTTTTCCACGCACATCGAGAGTGAAAAACTTGTCAGAACGGCGAAGAATCCGAAAAGGACCATCATAAGGAGGTTGTAGCGGCTTCCTCACAGCATCATGTCGCACGAAAACATGTGTACAAGTAGATAAATCAGGATGAACCTGTGACTGACGTTGAGAAACACGAGGAGGCTGAGCTCTCAAGTCCTGCATCTGTTGCTTGAGTCTATCCACGTAATCGCTGAGATCAGCACAACTGCTAGTCTGACTGGGAGCAACAAATTGCCCCGGCAACCGAATGGTGGTCCCGTAGACAAGCTCGGATGCACAACAACCCAAATCAAATTTCACAGTCGTACGAACACCCAGCATGACGAGAGGAAGGGTCTCAGTCCAGCGAGCTTGAGAATGAGCTTTGAGTGAAGCTTTCAGTTGGCGGTGGAAACGCTCCACTAGTCCATTAGAAGCAGGATGATAAGCTGTAGTTCTAGTACGCTTGCTCCCTAACAGGTCGGTGAGAGACTGAAACAACTTGGACTCAAACTGGCTACCTCTATCTGTGGTAATAGTGGAGGGAACCCCGTAAAGAGCAACCCAGTTGGCGACAAAAGCCCGTGCGACGGACTCTGCTGTTATGTCCTTGAGTGGTATAGCTGCAGGCCAACGAGTAAACCTGTCGATGCATGTAAGTAGATATGCATAGCCCTCTGAAGGAGGAAGAGGTCCTACCAAATCTATATGAACATGGTCAAATCTGGCATCCGGAGTCGAGAATGTGCCCAATGGCGCCCTCGTATGACGGTGTATCTTACACTGCTGGCACTTAAGGCAAGTTCTGGCCCACTTCCTCACATCAGTGTTTATGCTGGGCCACACGAAACGGTCGGTGACCAAACGCTGAGATGCTCTGATACCAGGGTGTGACAAATCATGAAGAGCACTAAAAACTGTGCGCCTGAACGATGGAGGGACATAAGGACGAGGATTGCCCTTAGTAGTATCACACAAAATAGTACCAGGTGAAGAAGGAAGTGGTAT